TTTTAAAAAAGAGATTCCTTAGTGTTTATTTTTAAATACTTTTATTTGAAAGGTACAGTTACACTGAGGAGAAACAGAGATATATTCCATCTGCTGGTTCACTGCCTGAATGGAGTTAGCCAATCTCAAACCAGGAGCCAGGAGATTCTTCTGGATCTCCCACGTGGGTGCAGGGTCTCCAGCACTTGAGCCGTCCTCTGCTGCTTTCCTAGGCTGTCACAAAGGAGCTGGGTTGGAAATGGAGCAACTGGGACTCAAACTGGCATGCAGTGGTATGCCAGCACTGCAGGTGGAGGCTTAGCTTACTAAAACATGGCACCAGTCCCTGCCCTGCTTTAAAATCTGCTTAAGCGTTCCAATGTTGTTGATATCACAGGTTAAGTCCCGATGTGGTGTGGTTCTTGTCTTAGATGCTTTCCTTCTGATCCACCTCCCTACTCATGCCTGGGAAAGCAGCAAAAGATGGGTCCCTGCCACCCATAAGGGAGATCTGGAAGAAGCTTCTGGCTTCTGGTTTGGGCATGGTCCAGCCCTGACCTTCCTAGCCTTTTGGGGAGTAAACTAATAAATGAAGATCAATCTCTTTCTAGTTCTCTATGTCCCCCTCTTTTCCCTTCCTCCCTCTCTTTATTCTCTGTTTCAAATAAACATTTAGAAAATTAAGTAAAATCTGCTTAAGGGCCATTTAAAGCAGTATATGGTCATCCTAATATCATCCAGTATTTTAAGTGAATATGTTCTTGGACCCAAAAATTTTACGTTTCAGATTTTATTTTGTGGGTCTATACACGTAAAGATGCATGAGGTTTTTTGGGGGGGGTGTTTGTTTTGTTTATTTATTTATTTATTTTTAGATTTATTGGTTTGGAATGTAGTTACAGAAAGAAAAGGAGAGACAGATAGGTGTTCTGTCTGCTGGTTTACTCCACAAATGGCTGTCATAGCCATACCTGAACCAAGCTGAACTGGAACCAGGAGCTTTATCTGGTTCTGCAGTGCAGCTAGCAGGAGTCCAAGCACTTGGGACACCTTCTACTGCTTCTCCCAGGCCAGTGTCAGGGAACTGGAGTGGAATTGGAGTGACTGAAGCAACACCCACTGTGGGATGCCAGTGTCAAAGGCAACATCTCTATATGCTAGATCGCAATGCCAGACCCAAGATGTATGTTTAAAAGTGTTTAGGGCCCTGCGTGGTGGCTTAGCGGCCAAAGTCCTTGCCTTGAATGCACCAGGATCCCATATGGGTGTTAGTTCTAATCCTGGTGGCCCCACTTCCCATTCAACTTCCTGCCTAGGCCCTGGGAAAGCAGTCAAGGATGGCTCAAAGCTTGAGGACCCTGTACCCATGTGGGAGACCCAAAAGAGGCTCCTAGCTCCTGACTTTGAATCAGCTCAGCTCTGGCCATTGTGGCCACCTGTGGAATCCTCCTGTAAGATATTCCACTTTGGAATCTTCTCTCTGTAAACCTGCTTTTCCAATAAAAACAAATAAATCTTTCAAAATAAATAAATAAATTGTACCTCCCCTTACAATATTAAACACTAGTTTTCTTTTTTTTTTATTGTTATTAACATTGTATTATGTGATACAGTTTTATAGGCACTGGGGATTCCCCCCACCCCTCCCATACCCCTCCCCCCATAGTGGATTCCTCCACCTTGCTGCATAACCACAGTTCAAGTTCAGTTGAGATTCCTTCATTGCAAGCATAAAGTCCAGCATTTTATTGTCCAGATAAGTTCAGTGGCCTCTTGGGGAGATCTTCTCTGGTCTGAAGGTAGAGCTAACAGAGTAAAGTTCCGGTCAGTTAAAAGCCCCAACAAAACCTCAGCATCGATATACAACATTATGGAATTAATTGACATAGTATTGAGTAAATAATATGTTAAAAATAATGCAAGTTCCATTCTTCGAAGCATCTGGGTTGAGACAGTATCAATGACAGGTTCAAAAAATAGTTTTCTAGTGCCAAATTGGTAAGATTTTTAGTAGGGTGACTGAGTAGTTCATATCAACATCCATAAAACCATATAAATCTTGTAGTTAAGTAATTTCTTTTCTAGGAATTTATTCTAAGAAAAAAATAAAGTTTTAAATATAAGGAAGTTCATGGAAATATAAAGTAAAAAGTTGGAAAATAACAAAAACATCTATTAATAAAGAATGGTCCAATAAATTATATATCCACACAAGTATTAAAAGTCGTGATAATGACAGGTGGGTGTTACAGCACTTTAGGTTAAGCCACTGGTGGGACACCCACGTCCCATTGTGGAATGCCAGTTTGAGTCGTGGGTACTTGGCTTCTGATCCAGCTCTGTGGTAATGCATCTGGAAAGCAAGCAGATGATAGCTTAAGTTCCTGCCACCCGTGATGGAGTTCTGGTTCGCATTTTCAGCCTAGCCCAGTTGTGGCTGTTGCTGGCATTTCGGGACGAAACCAGCAGATGTGGGATGTCTCTCTTTCTCTCTTCCTTCTTCTCTCCTTCAAATAAATAAATAACTTTTTTTTTAAAGAAAAACTTACAATTAAACTTTCAAATATATCTTGACTATAGGATACTAGATTTTCCTTTTTTAAAGATTTATCCATTTTTATTAAAAATTCAAATATACAGAGAGAAGAAAGACAGGAAGATCTTACATCCAATGATTCACTCCCCAAGTGGCCACTATGGCCAGAGCTGAGCCGATTTGAAGCCAGGAACTAGGAACTCTTCTGGGTCTCCCACACAGGGACAGGGTCCAAGACTTTTTGGGCCATCCTCAACTGCTTTCCCAGGCCACAAACAGGGAGCTAGATAGGAAATGGGGCCACCAGGATTAGAACCGGCACCCATATGGGATCCAGGTGCATGCAAAGCCAGTCTACCACGCCGGGCCCATAAGTAAATCTTTTTAAAGTGTCATATTGATGAATAAAAAATAGAACTGTGATAACTATATTTTTATTGAGATAGAAGTGACATAATCTGGTCCTGGCGCAGTAGTCTAGTGGCTAAAGTCCTCACCTTGCATGCACTAGGATTCCATATGGGCACTGACTGGTTCATATCCCAGCTGCTCCACTTCCCATCCATTACCCTGCTTCTGGCCTGGGAAAGCAGTTGAGGATGGCCCAAAGCCTTGGGACCCTGCACCTGCATGAGAGAACCAGAAGAGGCTCCTGGCTTCTGGCTTCAGATAGGCTGAGTTCTGGTCATTGCGGCCATTTGGGGAGTGAACCAGCAGTTGGAAGATCTTTCTGTCTCCTTCTATATGTATATCTGCTTTTCTAATGAAAATAAATAAATCTTTTAAAAAAGAAGCCACATGATCCACAATTAATTTTTGAAATTGTATGTATGTATGCATTTTATTTGAAAAAGAAAGCAGAGATTCCTTATCTGCTGTTTCACTCCAAAAATGCCCACAGCAGCTAGGGCTCTTGGGTCTAGTGTTGTGGCATAGCAGGTAAAGCTGTTGCCTGTGACATTGGCATCCCATATGCTCACCAATTCAAGTCCAGGTGCTCCACTTCCCATTCAGCGGCTTGCTATTGTGCCTGGGCCCCTGCCACCAATGTGGGAGTCCCAGAAGAAGGTCCTGACTTTGACTTGGCACAGTCCTGACTATTGTGGCCATTTGGGCAGTGAAGTAGCACACAGAAGATTCATCCATTCTCATTCATTAATTCTCTCTTCCCCCTCCCCCACAACTCTGTCATTCAACTAAATAAAATAAATAAAATGTCAGGATCCCAGAATTCAATCCATGTTTCTCATATGAATGACAAAAAAAAAAAAAAAAGTACTTGAGCCATCACCTGCCGTGTTTCAGGATCTGCATTAGCAGGACGCTGGATCAGAAGCAGAAGAGCAGGGATCTGAATCCAGGCACTCCAGTATGGGATGTGGATGTCGAAAGCAACACTAGCTACACCAAATGCTTCATCCCATGCAATCAGCTGTTTTAATGCTAGGATCTTAATTTCCTAAATATGTGTGTGTGTGTGTATGAACAGAAAAATAGATTAGAAGGATCTATATGAAAAATGTACTAAGTATCACTGAGTGGTTGCATTGCAGTCATTTTTTTCTTTGTGGTTTTTTTTATATATTTCTGTGACTTCCAAATAGGTTTTTATTACTTATAATCATAAGTAAATGGTCCTTAGAAAAAGAAGAGAGACTCCATTCAGAATTATATTCAGTCAGAAACACAGTTTTCAATGGCATTATTAGCAGGTTAGCTAGACTCCTTTTTCCCTCCCATTGAATTAAACTAAATCACCTTCCTTGTAGGTAAATGCCAAAGAGCTTGATCCAAAATATGCTCATATACAAGTCACTTATGTGAAGCCCTACTTTGATGAGAAAGAGCTCACAGAAAGGAAAACTGAGTTTGAAAGAAACCATAATATCAACAGATTTGTTTTTGAGGCTCCTTATACTCTGTCGGGGAAAAAGCAAGGGTGTATAGAAGAACAGTGTAAACGCCGGACAATTTTGACTAGTAAGTAGAATTTGGCATGTTCATATTTGTTTTGGTCCTTTTTGATATACACATATAACACCTGGCCAGCAGGAATATTCAACTGAAATGTTAATTATCTGTTGTTTTGTTCAGCTACAAGTTTGCACAAACATGTCCATATTATAAACCACCTTTTTCTTGTGCCGGTCATAATTGCTCATAGATGTCTTCTAAGGAGAACTTCCCCCTCAGTCCTCTATGGTAGCCAAAGGCATCTTCCACAGAAAGCGTGCAAATCATTTGTTGCAATGGATCTTTCTCTTGAATTTTGTTGTTTGAAGAAATGATTTTTTTTCAAGATAGTAATTTAGTCTCAACACTTTCATAGCATCAAACTCATTCCCATATGTGAAGAAGAGGATTCCTATAAACTGTGAACAGCAGATTAATTTAAAACCAATTGATGTTGCTACTGATGAAATAAAAGATAAGACTGCAGAGTTACAAAAACTGTGCTCCTCTGCTGACGTGGACATGATTCAGCTCCAGCTGAAGCTGCAGGGCTGTGTTTCCGTACAGGTAGGATGGTTGCTCAACTGGACGAGATGCTTCTTGGTGCTCTTATTGTGTTCCTACAGACACAGAGCAAGCACTGCTATAATTGTTTAAATTGTACTTTTACTGAATGCAGAAGCCTATGCTTTAGTTTAGATCGCTATATAGAAACGATGCATGCTGGCTCTAACTTATCTGTGTTGTCAGAGTACTTTAACATAAGTCCCTGATTGCTGCCAAAGCCTGTATTTACATATTGGAAATCATTAACTAACTTATTAGGATGTCATTTTATTGATTGCTAACTTTAGTTAATGAATTTGCATGTAAACTTGTGGTAACCCATAATACATGTATTTTCCACTTACGGATTTCTTATGCATTTGGGTTTTTTTTAAAAAAAAAAAGAAAGAAAGAAAGAAAAAGGATAAATACAAAAGCTACTTTCAGTTACATCCTGACAATATTCTTTTTTCTTTTGTAATTTAGGTCAATGCTGGTCCATTGGCATATGCAAGGGCTTTCTTAAATGACAGTCAAGCCAGCAAGTATCCACCTAAGAAAGTGAATGAGTTGAAAGACATGTTTAGGTAATGTTCTACATTTTTCAGATAAAACTTTTATATTCCTGCTGTTTTCTTCTTAAAAACAGCACAAGAAAGTGTTCATCAAATAACACCTTGGAGGGGGGGGAACCATCCTCTGCACTCTTTTACAATGTTTCAGTGACCGCCTAAGGTCCTGCAGCACCTTAACCGTGCCCCAGCGTCCCAAGAGATTACACACGCCAAACACTACTTTGTTGCTGTGGTATTAAGTGATAGAAATACAAGCTTGTGTTCATTACTGGATTGCCTACTTTGCCCACCTTACCTTCTGTTCATTGCAGTTCATACTCTTCAGGATAGAAATAACACTGGGACTAGAAGGCTTATATAGGCTTGCTCCTATCCCATGTCCTTAATTCCTGATGGATTCTGCCTGCCTGGTCTAGTGTTCAGTGACCAGCCCTGTAAGCTAAGGCATATCAGAATTGTCTTACATTAGAGAAGAAGAGATTTGTGGGTTTAGCATTATGGTACAATGGATTAAGCTGCTGCCTGCTATGCTACCATCCTATGTGAGTTAGGTTTTAATGTTTCAGCTGTTCACTTCTAATCCAGTTCCCTGATAATGCACCTGGGAAGGCAGCAGAACATAGTCCAAGTGCTTGGGTCCCTGTACCCAGGTGGTACCCTGATGAAGTTCCTGCCTTGTGGCTGCAGCCTGACAGACCAGTGGCTGTTGCAGCCATTTGGAGAGTGAATTGGTGGATGGAAGATCTCTCTTGCTCTTTCTCCCTCCCTACCTCCATCCCTCTTTCTCTGCCTTTCAAATAAATAAACACATCTTTCTGTTCAATATACAAGAGGCCTTAAGAGAAAGTGTTGAGTAAAATCAATCAAGGAGAAAGATGATAGTCTAGCCAATAATTTGCTTCCTACTATTTCATTTACTTTTCATGCCTGCATGTTATCAGCTATTCTAGGCTGAAGAGCAACCATTAATCATTCATTCTCTAATATTTACTAATGCCTGGTATGTACAAAAGACTACATAGTTGCTATGACAAGAATATAAAACAAATGACAATGTAGTACTTTGTACCCTAAGGTCTGTACTCTGATTATGAAGACTAAACATAAACACATGAAAGACTAGAAAAATACTCTCAACTTTATGGTGGACATCAACTATGTCCCCACTGTTTTTTTTAAAGATTTTTTTTATTGCAAAGTCAGATATACAGAGAGGAGGAGAGACAGAGAGGAAGATAATCCGTCCAATGATTCACTCCCCAAGCAGCCGCAACGGCTGGAGCTGAGCCAATCCGAAGCCAGGAGCCAGGAGCTTCTGGATCTCCCATGCGGGTGCAGGGTCCCAAAGCTTTGGGCCATCCTCGACTGCTTTCCCAGGCCACAAGCAGGATACTGGATGGGAAGCAGGGCTGCCGGGATTAGAACTGGCACCCATATGGGATCCCGGACGTGCAAGGCGAGGGCCTTAACCACTATGCTATTGTGCCGGGCCCCCATTGTTTTTTAATATTCATATTTATTTATCTGAAACGCAGAGTTACAAAAAGGTAGGAGAGACAGAGACATCTTCCATCAGAGACATCAATGGCTGGGGCTGTTCACATCTAGAACCAGAAACTTCTTCTAAGTTTCCCATGTGGGTATAGGAGCCCAAGGACTTGAGCCATCCTGCACTGCTTTCCTGGGCACATTAGCAGGGAGCTGAATCAAAAGTGGAGCAGCTGCTACTCGAATCAACACCCATATGGGATGCCAGCACCACAGGCAGAAGCTTAGGCTACTATACCATGGCACCAGGTTCCTGTCCCCACTCTTACTAACCCGAGGTAGATACTTCACAGCTACAGTACTGACCACTGTACAGCGCATTATCTAAGCTCCAAATAAAGCTTTTTTCAAATAAAGCATTTTTAAATGAATGACTTGCAGTGTAAGTACTACGTGCTAACCGACTGCACACCTGGAGCAAATGAATGTCTTGCTGTCTCTAAGTACCAATTAATATTAGTATTAAATCAACTTATAAAGCCAAGTAAATGATTGAGGAATTAGATTTACTAGAGGTAAGTATTTTAAGATGAAGACAAAGGTGGAAAATGAAGTTATTCCAGGTTTAGGAGGTAATGTTAACAAATGCACAGTGATCCTATGTGGGGTTCTAATCTTCCTTCTAAAAAAAACCTTGATAAGTGTGTCATCAAATTAGTTATCAAGAAACTGTCCTCAGATTACATAACAGAACATTCATATTTCATGTTCAACCACAGGAAATTCATACAAGCATGCAGCATTGCGCTGGAACTAAATGAGCGGCTAATTAAAGAGGATCAAATTGAATATCATGAAGGTCTGAAGTCAAATTTCAGAGACATGGTAAAAGAATTGTCTGAAATTATCCATGAGCAGGCAAGTATTAGTGTGGCTGGAGACAGAAATATAACCTGGGATATCTAAACTATTGCTTAGCAAAATCTCTTAGTTTAAAATAGTATCTTAGAAAGTTACTCAGTCTGTATTATAAAATCTGTTCATGTTCTCTTTAATGATTGAAATGATACAGTGCAAGTCACATGTGAAGAAATTGCCTAAGGCTGTAACCAAAGCAATTACCAATTCTGTTCTTTGTGCTAACCGTGTCATTAGAAGACTAGCTGAGAAAATCTGAACTGATCCCCGTATACTGAGATAGCAGTCTTTTAGGAAGAAGGCTAAAGAAGTGCAGTGGTTGGGTTGGCAGCCAAGTCCCCAGATGAGTAGCCCTATCTTGGCTATAAAAAAAACCAACCAAACAAACAAACCACTAGAAACTACCATTTGGATGAGATATCCTGGGTGATTTTTCCAACTTTTATGAATGGTCTTTATACCCAATTCGGCTTACAAAACTCTGTTTTTATAAAACCTGTTTGAGTCTATAACTTGGCGAGTGTAAAAATGTACAAACAATGACCTGATCATCACATTTAGCCAAATTATGTCATAATTTAAGTTGTTAGAAGTTTTATATACCTGCTGACCCTTACAGAAAGATCTAAGTACTCCTGGGCTATTCTGCTAAACTTTGTTTCCATATGAAGTTCTGGCAATGGATGTGTATAACTCCGCTGTTCTCAGACGACCACTTGAGCATTCTAACATATTCTGTGTGCTTGTAGAGGTACAGCATTGATAGTCTAATCCTTGAGTAACTGAGCTCATTAAGCTTATCATAAAGATTCCTTCATTTCCTCAGAAGTGCCAACATGCTCAATATGACAATAATTTGCTTCAGAAACACTGCAGATTCTCAATTTTTTTTTAAAAAAAAAAAGGTTTATTTCTTTTTATTGGAAAGACAGATTTACAGAGAAAAGGAGAGACTTTTCACTGGCCCACTCCCCAATTGGAGCTGAGCAGATTTTAAGCCAGGAGCTCTTCCGGGTCTCCCATGCAGGTGCAGGGTCCCAAGGCTTTGGACCATCCTCAGCTATTTCCCAGGCCACAATCAGGGAGCTGGATGGGAAGTGGAACAGACAGGATATGAAAAGGTGCCCATATGGGATCCCAACAGACACAAGATGAGAACTTTAGCCACTATCACCAGGCTATGGCACCAGGCCTAGATTCTCAATATTTAAGAAATGAAGGAGGATCACTAAAAGAAACTAGGGAGCCTTATTTGTTCTGGTATGTGCATTTCAGTGCGACTTGAAGGCAGTTACTCCCTATGGGAGACTGTCTGAGGATGGAATTAGGCCTAGTGCTTAGTATCCAAAGAAGTGTGGTACAATGTTGGAGCAAAGTCAGAGTGGGGAGGCTGCTAGGACAGTGGTAGCCAGTTGAATTTTAATCAGATCCAGCCTTTCCCAGTTTATTTTGTGTGCTATTTGTCAGAATGAGCTGTGGGGAATTTTAGTTACATCCTAAAATTGACAGAGTGATCAGGCATCTACCCTTCCAACCATTGTCATCTTCCCTGTATGGGTCAGCCAGACTTAGGTCATCCCCTATGTTTGATTAACACCAGTTACCCAATCTCCTGTGGACCCACACTCTGTGGCCAAAAACTTTGTTGGCTTGAGGAACTTGGGATTATGTTCTGTGTTGTCTTTTTGCCATCTTTACTTTTATTCACCTACTTTGTAATGAGGCAAATACTTCCAAGGTATTCTTTGCTCAGTTATCAGAGGCCTTTTTTTCTGTCATAGGTAATCAGGGAACCTTTCACTTTCTTTATTGTCTGTATTTCGGCCTCAATTCACGAGTACTGTTCTCTCTTCAACATCACTATTTGGAGGTATATCAGGGGTTTGCAGCGAAGTTCATATGAAATGTGTATTATGAAAGCACTGTACCTGAATTTTAAACAATGTACTGAAATCAACATTTTTTTTCATTCTGTTCCATGAATTTTTAAATATTCCGATGCTGTTATTAACTGGACTGCATGTTGGTTCCTGAAGCAAACTTGTTGAATTTCTGTTCCTCATAGTGTATAGAAATCATATTACAAGTTCCTT